TTGGTTCGGCGAGGTCTCACGGCCTTCTAAAAAGACCGTCGTCGAGTTAGCAACGGTAGTTTGGGAGGTTGTGGCTTGAAGTTGACCAAGATAGCTCGGTTTGTGCAGGGGTGTTTCGTCCTTCAAGGGTGCCTTGTAATGTGCTGTTATTTTTATGTATACGTTTGCTACAAAGCAGACTCGACTAGAGCAAGATAAGCTGAAAAATCAAAGTAGGATTGTGTTATTAGACCTCGCGTAAATGAACGGGACATTCAGGACGGTCTTTAAGACTTGGTGGCCGGACGAGCCGACTTAGTGGCAGCTGGCGCAACAGCTGGGTCAGCGTGAGTGGTTTGCAGCTTCCGGATAGCTGTGTGTTTTAATATAGAGACACTAGTAAAGGAGTATATAGGATTGTACGTTTGAAAACTGTTAATTATGCTTAAAATAGGCAGTAGTAAGTATCGCGTCGTACGACAGGAGCACACATCAGAAACATATACGTGTGCCACAGGAACTGAATTTTTCGCGCGCATTACAGCTGTACCAGTTGTCTTGACAGGCTCATTTACCGATTCGTGTGCGTCGGGCATTTGCTTATCACTGTCGACTGTGGTTAGCAAATGGTTATGAGAGGGACGGCAAAAGACGAATGGCGAGTCGCTAGTGGGAGTGTTTAAAGGGCATTCCATAACACATTCACTGCTGATTGTTACAAGGTATGATCGCGTCTCGTGGGTGCTCATACGCGTGGCACTGTCAAAGTGGCGCGCGGCATCCAAGCGAGCCGTCGTTAACGCTTTATGGTCACTTCTTTTGGCTGTCGGACATCTGTGGAGTGGCGGTGAATTCCCGTGTCAAAAGGCCATGGTGCGGCGGTAAGCAGAGTCGACCATATCGCACGGTTGTCGGATGCGTCGTTGTGCGCTCGCTTCTATAGTCTCGCAAACGAGCGAGTGTCAGTGACCCACTTCTCGAAAATCGAAACTATAGGCTCAACTAAGCGCGCGTTGCACAAGCTGCTCGCAGAGCCATGCGAACGCGGGAAAACAAAACTTTTCAACCACCTGTGGCATCATTTTCTTTTTTTTTTTCAGATATCGGATATGATCACAAGTAGGATTTTTTTACGTCTCTCATTGAACTACTATTATGATTTTGTTGCTAATATTATGTTCAGCGAGTGGTCGAGTTGTGACTTAGTAAACCGTTGAACTGCTCCACCGCCAGGCTCACTCTAAAGTAGCGCTGAAATCGCACTTAATGGCTTACATTTACCTTGAGCTTTTGGTTATTAAAGTGCTGCTCACAACAATAATGATGTTTTAGAAGTTCTAAAGCATTAATTGTCTCTGTACATAGAAATGTGAGACTGGGCTAGTTGGTTCTCTTCTACCACGTTTCACTTTATTTAGGTCGCCGTCGACGTCGGTGTTTTGCTTTTAGCCATAATGTGTCATCTGGCATTAACATCTCTTGAATGCGGACGTTGCTGGCTGGAACATGTACGGACCTTCGGAGCTGTGGCATATTGTACGTAGAGATAACCCACTTTTTACGTCTACCCTCTGGCAGATGTACACAAATGTATCATCTTTGTTTCCCTTTTGGCAACATGCCTGAGGTTTACGAGCGCAGTGAAAGACGCTGCTTCCGGCTGGCAACGCGGTCTTTGGTCCGCCCGACCAACTTGCCAGCAGCTCTGTAATGCCTGACGAGGCTTCTTGGCGGACGCGTCACTTCCTTCCTGCATATTGCTAGACAAACGACGACGCGGCTATCTGTTGGCTCTGTGCTCGCTGAAGCGGCGCGACTGCTGGCTTTACGTGACCCTTGTTGAGGAAGAACTGCTGCCTCTTCCTTCCGAGTACGCGTCTTGCGTCACTGTGGTCACAGCCGGCCCCGCCACGCTTTGAGCAGTGGTATGCCGGCCAGTGTGTGATGAGAGCGCCGCTGTTTGTGTCGTTGTTTTTATTTATTTCTTTCTTGCCCGTCGTGTTTATGTGGGTCAAACAGTCAAAGCTTGTACGCTGTGTGTGCGCGCTAAGCTAATTTCTCGTTCATTCTTTCGGCCTTCAAAAAAAATAAAAAATACAGCTGTTGTACAACGTCAGCGCACAGATAGACCTGTGGCGCACTATGTCGGGTCACCAGTTTGTGGAAACAAGCGGATAGATGTCGATTGCTGTGAAAGCATAACTTGTATGTATTCCGTCTGGATGGAGCCATTTCTTGCGGATGCGAATCGGTACACGCGCGGCCATCTGGCGCTTGTTGCGTCGTCGTATTCTCGTATATATATAGCCCGCGCTAGTGGGCTACGCGTCCCTTGGTTGTTTGAGCTCACAGTTCCAAAATACTAGTGAAATGCGAATAGGTTAAGTGCTGCATTCTGTCGAATGTATCGCGTTTTACGCAGGTGGGACTGCTCTTGTCTGCAGTCGGGTACAACTTCCAGAGAGGCCTTGCTCATGACGACCGAAGCGTGGTATAGCTGATCGCCCTCCTCGACTTAAAGGATAGTCCCGAGCTCATATAAACACGGCAATGTGCTTCGAAGGGGGTGTAACACGGGCCGTGCGGCCTGACCTCTGTCGGTATAGTGTGCGCCCATTGGAGCAGCTGGTGATGTGTGCTTCCGCTTATGAGGGCGAAATGCCGCGTTTAAGCTGATGTTTCTCTCTGACTGCATAACTGGGACTCGCAGAGAAGCCCAAGGTCTGTGCCAAGGTGGCAGTTTCGTGACTCGTACATCCTATACAGGTATATGGGAAGTATTAGAGAAGACAGGCCTTTCATCTAGAATTTCGGTTGCATGCAGGCAGCTAACTAATGATTCTGCATTGCCTAAAAATCCCTTACACAGTAGATATCTAGCCCTTGGCCTGTGTATATTCCCATTGTTGTCGTATTCGGAAACGGAGAGAACCGACTTCACTCATGTGTTCTTACTCAATTCTGTAGAGAACGCTCCATGCAGGCTTTGAAAATGCTTGAGGTGCTAAGATTTAGGTGCACGTTGAATATCCCTAGGTGGTCGAAATTTTCGGAGCCCTCCATCTGTGGCGTCTCTCATAATCATATGGTGGTTTTGGGACGTTAAACCCCAACAATTATTTTTATCATTTCTTTGGATTTGTAAGTAGAGAACCCGCCGCGGTGTTGTTGTTATGGTGTTCGACTGCTGACCCCGAGGTTGCTGAATAAAATCCCGCACTCGGCGGCCGCATTCCGGCGGAAAATACTATAGATGCGCGTGCGCTTCGATTTTGGTGCTCAAGAACCCGATGCGGTCATTATTTCCGGTCCTTCCTCTGCTACGTCTCTCGTTATTGTGTCGTCTCTTCGGGACGCAGGACTAGAACCCCAACAATCGTAACTCGAGAGGCACAGATTAAGTTCCAACGTATAATCTCTAGCTACTGTTTCTGTCCTTGACCCCCTGTATTCGTCGGCACTTCAGCGATAGCACTTGTTTAAATGTCTCCACCACGCACTCTCGTTGGTTTGTAGCATAAACACGCCACGGTGGTTTGGTGGTTACGGTACGCGACTTCTGACCCGCAGGTCGGGGATCGAATCCAGGCCGCGGCGGCTGCGTTGTCAATGGAGGGCGAAATGTTCAAGACCCGTGTACTTGTAAACATCGGGTCATGTTAAAAAAAAAAACCCTATAGTGTGGTTTCCGAAGCCATCCAGTCTCTCATAACCACGTCATCGTTCTGGGGTTTCAAATCCCACCAATTATTAATATCGATTTAAGTATATACGAACTAACGTACTGGTAGTGAACGAAGATTTATCATGAGAAGGTCGCTACGTTCGACTTGCAGTATTTCTCACTTCCCACTTCCTGGCGTTAATGTTTTCGCTCGTTGAGCAAACAAAACACCGAGAAACCGGGAGAGTGATGTAGGAACGTATGACTGCCATTCGTTCAGCTTTGGCATAGTCCTTACCTTTATCACATAGTTATCAGTGTTAACCCTTATCTTGTGTACTCTTTGCGCCTCGCCTAGTGCCCCATAAAGCGACGCTGGCGCTCTAAAGGTCTCGGGGCGCGAGAAATGTGCCCCGTTTTCGCGTTGTGCTCGAACAATTATTCATCGTCTGTCGACCCCTATCGCTGGGGCGGTCTTAGTTAATGATATGTACGGGATTCACTTGTTCGGTTTCATGCATGTGCCCTGTTACATAACAGCGATGCATCTCGCTAATCAATGAACCATTCTTTTCAGGCCACTTATCCGCTGGTTACGTTGCGTTCCAGCATCTCTTGATGCCCCGACGCGGCTCGTATCCTTGACTCCAATGCAGACGCCCTGCTTCATCGTGCGTCAGGTGCGCCGGAGTACGCTACGCTGAGGCACGATGAATGCAGATGAGCTTAACCTCAGTAATCGGCGCGGTTTAACTAACGACCAGAGCTACGCGTTTGTCGTGAACGCGTACGTCTTCTGCGGGCGTCAGGTGCGCCAGTTAAATGTACAGATGCCAAAAGTAACTGGTATTGTAAAATTCGCGGGAAAACCTCACAGCCACGTGGCTCGTTTGTGAGACGTTGCAGTTTGGAGGCTCGGGAGCGCGCTTGAAGCCGGAGCCCTCCCTGGACGGACGAAGAGAACGAAGGCAAAGAGACGGGAAGCTCGCGAGCGGCCCGTCCGGATGACGTCATGCTGCCGCTCCTTTCCGCCGCTGTTTCCGAGCTCGGCGAAGCCTCTTGCGAGCGAGTCGGCAAAACACGAGCAGAGGATGCAGTGTTTCTTTCAAGAGCGAAAGAACCGCGCAGTGGAGAGCGTTGGAAGAGAGAAACGGCCGCAGGAAACAACAAAAATTTCAAGGGACATCATCATCAGCAGTGCGTCGAAGCCACGCTGGAGAGCGGGCCGTTCCCGATTTTGCTAGCCCCTCTCCCCCTCTCTTTCTCTCCTCTACGTCATCATCCTCCTCCGGAGAGGAAGGAGCAGGCGCATTTGGCGAGCATCGGTGCCGGCGCTCGATTTGCGCGGATCCATCTCCCTCCTCTATCTGCCGAGCCCCGCGCTGGTGCGCCCCGCAATTTGCGTTCTGTGGGACCGCCACTACTGCGGACTATAACAACGTCGCCTATTCACAGTGTCCGCCCACGCATCAAAGGCGAGCAGGAGGCAAGCTGACCTGGAGAAGAAGAGGTGCGCCCCTTCGTAGTGCCGAAAGCGGATCTCCATCTGTGCGCTGTTGTGCGGAATATGTGTCGACTTCGCCCGGATTGTGCGCAGCGCGGGATTTGATGAGCTGCGCGTCTGTTTCGCGTGACAACACCGCTGTGTCGTTCGCGTCAAGTGCATCTCCGTCCTCTTCTCGCTACTGGCCTCGGCGTCTGTGATTTTCGGTCGCGATGTCGGTGTTCGGAGAAAAGGCCTAGCGGGTGCCATGAGAGGCGAGCGCTGTTGCGCCAGCGGAGTGGAGAAGAAGCCGGCGGCGGTGGCGGCTCGGCTTGCGTTCAACGCTAAGCCGCTGCCGGCGAACGACAACGCCGGATTGCCGCCGGTGCTTGGCACCGGTTTCATTGGTGAGCGTCCTTTCCTCGCTTGCATGGTCGTGGGGCGAGTATATAGCCGTCAAAAAAAAAAAAAGAAAAAAAAACCTGTCTCGTCCATCTCTGCCCTGACGATCTCTATGCAAGGGCTTGTTCGCGTGTTTCTCGGCGAAGGGAAGTGGTGCGAAGTGATCTGTTGCGCGCGCTCGTGGCTGTGTATTTGCGCTCTGAAATAACCGGCGTCTATGCACCTTACCATAGAGAGATACGTTTTGCTCTTCACAACTTCTCTCCCCCCTTTTTGTACCCTTTACCCCGTCTGTCACGCACACACACACTCTCTCTCCCATTTTCCTTCCTGTCATCTTGTCTGGCCTGTCAAGCCGAAAAGTGCGGTGACAGCTGCGTGAGGAGGAGACATTTGTGACGTCACCTTCTCGTGTGGCTGGACGAAACGCGCGAAGCATCCGGGCCCATATTTTCACTCTCTCCCGTGCTTTCATTGCGGCCCGGCCACTGCGTTTCTCTGTGAATTCCAAAGTAAACAAACAAAAAAAGTAGTTTTAAGTGCAGAGGGAGTTTTTTTATTGCCGAGGCGTGAGTTCGTTTGTGCTTAACCTCCTGTATGTGTACTGCTACGGCGCGTCGTTTTGTGGCCGTAATTGAAGCAGCCCTCTGCGAATACCAAGTTGAATGCTTTTGCGGTGATGCGCGCTGCACGTTGTTGAGGGCGCTGTGTGGAATGTCCAGGCCGCAGCTGTTTGCTCAGTGATGGCCTGTGTAGGCGCGGCGTTGATTTCGACCGCTCCGAACGTTGCCGAAGATAGCGCTCGCGTTTGAAGTGCGTTTCGCAGCCAAGCAAATACGTGTGAGGTTATGCAAGCAGCACATATTTGTGTGACTTTTGTTCTTGTTTTGTTAGTTTACAGGAAAAGCTATAGCGTTGTAATTATCATTATATGCTCCAATGTACTTTCCTCTACGCTCCTGCCATACCGTTTCACTTTGGTCCCCCATTTACGAGGCACTGTTTATTATCATCATTCCGGCCTCACTCGGCAGCGCGCCCTGTGTGGCCGGAGGCTTTTCGTCGGAGATCCTTTTTCTGCTCTTCGTGGTGGTCCCCGTCTGCTTTCCAAATTCTCTGTTTACTTTGGTTTGCTTTTCGGCCTCTTTCGTTCTGTTGAAATTTCTTTTCGCTGAGTCACCTGCTCCGCGCTGTGAAAGCAAAAAGAAACTCTTTATCAACGATAATAACGGTAACAAAAAAGTGGCGTTGTAAGGTTGGCGTCGGCGCGGCGCCCGTGGAATGCATCTACGCAGTACCCATGGCTCTGCACGCTGCCCCAAATGGTTCGAGGTTCCGGTGTTTGGGCCCCGAGGCGTGTAGAGTACACAGCGCTCGGGCTGCCTGACGCATGTATCGACCGGGTCGGGGACAGGGCAGTTTGCTTGCTGTGTACTATTATTACTGGTTTGAGCGTACGTGTTCGTGTTATAACCCTTCATTTCCTATCTGGGTTCCGAGGCGCCGCGTCGAAAACGCTTTAGCGTGCGTTGTTGACAGGGGCCACATGCAGGGCGAATGTGTGGCATGGGCCAACACTTTGAGGAAGCTTCTTGGTTTTGTGCTCAAGCGCTGATAGACCATTCTTGAGAGGTCTGAGTGCATTAATACAAACAAGGACACACACAGCGTGTTACGGGGCACTGTGTCCGTCTGTGTATTTGTATTGTCGCAGTCAAACCTTTCAAGAATGAACGTCAACCACCTAGCTAACCTTGGTGCCTTCATCACGACCAGTCCAATTCGTAACTTTTTAGCCCAAGTAAGGCAGATTTCCTTGCCTCATTCCATAATGCTTCTTCTCTCTTTTCCATAGTTCGCGCAAAAAACGAAAAGAAAAATTATTGCGCACGTAATAGTGCGTCATCACATGCCTGTTGCCTCTCACACTTGGCTTTAGTGGTGTTTTCGAGCGCACTGTGGGATACGTAGACCGATTAATAGCTTATTTTCCTCTGACCAATGCTTGAACGTTTGATTACGGCCTGCGACTCCGTAGGCATATTGGAAGTTTGTAGTCTTAGGTATTCAATTTGTTCGTGCTTTAGTTATTTGGTTGTGCTCTTCTGTCGGAAGCGCGAGTATGTATGCACTTTTTTCTTATTTATGGGCGCGTTCCATGCTCACAGCACTTGTAAAATATTTAGCTCTTTCAGTTGTGTATAGTTCGGGAAACCGACTTAATAGATCACTATATGCTTTGTAACTGTTTACACTACATATGGACAGAAGGAAAGAACATGCCGACCCATTTTCGTTGATGGTGTAGACCTGTATACCTGGATAATAATGAAACAGTCATCCAGATGAATCGATCAGATTAACCAGCCTAGACACAGTTCATTCCCATGCTCCTTCTACAACTCCACCAAACGTTACTGGGACGACATATGTATAGACAGAGATGTATGTTTTACAGGGTTTACGTAAATCATCGACAGTGAAGGGAAGCGCACGCGAGCACTTTACACAGTCGTCAGTTTGATCGACCGCCTACATTCCACAGCACTGGATTTTTCACTGTCTGCACTGATCCGTAATTTCATCGTTGATGTTACTACAAGGTCGCGTGACGACACCAACCTCTAATTAGTGTCTTGGAGACGCTCCCTGTCCCGAATATCTTCGACGAAGAATGTTCGTCTCGTCCTCTGTTGCCCTTGACCGCGTGTGACAGTTTCGTCCTCGACTGTCTGCGCTGACAGCCGAGCAAATAATAAAGACATGGCGCATCCGGCGACTCCATCCCTCTCTTCACTACTCCAGCCTCTTGTTTGTCGCAAGTGGCTCGATGGTTCTTTTCCTCTATCCCTCCTTCTCCTCCTCCTCTTCTACCGTACTTTCTCCTGTTAGGCAGGGAAGAGCTCATCCGACGCGCATGCGCGCATTGTTGCGTAACGAGCGTCATGAACTTGGGCGACAGCTGTGTGCGCACTTCTCTAGTTTTTTTATTTCTGCTTTTTTTAAACACGCTTCATCGCCTACAACGAACATTAACGAATGCTTGAGAACGGTTGAATCGCGAGACCTTGCATCTGGTTTAACCCTTTCACGACAGCGTTGCAATTATTTTCTTTATTGGAATTTTTCATCGAAATCACGTCCCGAAGCGATAACGAATATGCACATATTCATCTTTTACAGACCATTGCTCCGTCCACGATAAGGCGTGCTGATTTTATTTTTATTTTTAAAGTCAAATGATCAAAGAAATGACGTTTCATTCCATTCAGGCGTGTTTTATAGGAGTTTATCACTGCGATGGGGAAGCGTCCGCCGTGTTGCCGCTTTCCTCTGCTGCCTGTCACAATAATAATGTGGCGCAAAAAGACTATATAGCGCTTGTGGTGTGGCCTTCTTTGTGTCCGTCTTGTCGTTTTTTTTTTGCGCTACATTATGAATGCGATTCGACACCAATTAGCCCAGCAACAAGTCCTTCTGCTTGCGTGTCATTAACCGCCGCCGTGGTCCAGTGGTCACTGCATGGTTCGATATATACTGGCCGCGGCAGTTGCAGATTGATAAAGTGGCGCTTGCTTCGTATACCAAAGAGATCTGCATTAAGTGAAATGGCAATGTGTGTGTGTGTGTGTGTGTGTGTGTGTCATGCATTTTTAATGCATAGTTTCGTTTTGGACTGCGAAAAATCGTGTTTTTAGTGATGACATTTTCAACCAATTTATATCAGTAAGTCAATCAATTCTATCTGCCATTTCGAAGAGCACAGGCGTGGGAAGCGAAAGCTCCAGTGAGCCCTACTCGGCTTTCCACTCTATCTACAGCTCAGCGGCGTGTAGTGGTGGTGTACATAAACTGCGACCAGTGAGTAGTATTTGCGGTATAGCTCTCTTGGGTAATAAAGTTAGGCTGCAAAGAATAAATTGGCGGGACTGGGTTTTGACCAATCGGAAGACCCTAACGCGCGCTCATGGTACGCCCGGTCTCCGCGTTTAGACGCCCCTTATATCTCAAACGATCGGCAGCGTCGGCACGATTGAAGTTACGCTCTGTTTACGTCGTGAAGTGCAGCGCACGTACCAAGTCGCTCGCCAGCGTTGTTGGTCCCGAAAATCAAATTAAAGCGTATTTTAAAGCTACCGTATTCAACCGCGCCTTAACTATCCTCATATCCGAGTTTATTCATAAAAATCGAAAGTTCTGAATCGGTGATATTCTAGCGGCTCTTGCCCCGAGGCCAGATTTCGAAATGTGTATACTGTCCGCAGGAATCCAAACGCGAACCCCACGAAATTGTTGCGGTGTGGTCAAAAATGTCGCGCTGCTATACACAATGGCTCAGATTTGGTTGCCAGCCTTGTGCAAAATAAAATAACAATAAAAACGCATGCGTACTTCGATTTTAGCGAACGTCGAAGAACCCCAAGTTAAGAAAAAAAAAAAAAAACATACCGTTCGTTCTTCCCACTTCGGCATCATACCGCGGTTGTGGCACTTACACAAGTTCCACAGCTTAATTTTATGAACTAATGCCTGGTGCACACTCGTGTAATAGCGCGCGGAGGGTGTTCTGGTGAGTTTATGGGCGTCTCTCAACTAATTCATCCCGGTGATGCAGATACATGTACAGTTCTGGGCAATAACTTAAACGGGATAGTCGGCCCGCGTATTATCTTATACAAGATGCACCATATTGAGTGCTGAGGACATTGAACTGCAAAATTGTAGCGCAATGCTAAAGCAATAACCTTGAGGCTTGCGTTGTGCGAGCCTTTTTGACTTTCATGCGACCACCCAGCACTCTGCGGCCGTTCAAAAGAAAGCGCCGGCCGCCGTACATGCGGGCTGATTACGTATTGGCCAAGCATTGTTTATGCTTCTCAGTAGATGCCGCTCGATAATGCATTCTATTGCCACGTTCTTTATTTAAATGTACTCGATGTCATTGTCGCGTTGCAGAGAGGAGTGGGGTCGCACGTTCATGAGGGCAGTATTGAATGACGCCTGA